TCCTACATTCCCCACACTGGGGTTCGAGTCGGCAGCCCAGGCATGTGCCCTGACTGGAAATTGAACTGTGATCTCCTGGTTCATAGGTCAATGCCCAACCCCTGAGCCACATCGGCTGGGCAGTCTTTATTTTCTTGTATGACATAGGAATGTTCCCTGTGAGTTATGGAGTTATAGAAAAAATTACCAATTAAAGAAATACAGCTTATCTTTAGAGCATTTAATATTTTTCCACTGTAAAAAGAGTTCATGTACATTGCAAACAATTTTGAAATGTAAGGAAAAATAAATCGCTATTCTTACTACTTTTAACATTTTGAGATATTTTTTCCAGTTATTTAAGGTGTTTGTTTTTTTTAAGTTATGAGTAAATAAGCTAAAATTAGTCAATAAATAAAAAATATGACTGGAGTTAAGAAGAGATGGAAGAAAAGTGGATTGAAAGCTAGATGTAATGTCATTGTCCAAATAATCCTGTGGTCTTTTTAAAAAAAAGAAAAAAAGAAAACACCAAAAAACCCTTAGCTTGGAAAAAATAGTTTTTATTGAACTTGTTAATTGGATTTTGCTTTCTAACTAATAAGTTTTTCAAATAGACATTTTAGAAATTCTTCTTGAATTATTTTTGTAACACGTTGAAACTCCCAAATTCTTGTTTTGGAAACGCTGTGCCATGCATCTAATTTTTATCAAGAATGTGGTGTAGTACTTTTCATTTTTAAGAAGTAGCATTGCCATCTTGTGGTTTTCCAGAGTATTGTTGTTGAGGATTTAGATTTTGTTTTCATAACTGTTATGGGCCTAGGTTACATAATACTTTAGGACTCCATCTGGTCTGCAGGTGAGGGCTTCCCACTCTAATGTGGAGTAAAATAGCAAACAACATGTAGAACACAATGTGTGTGCAACAGAAAATAAAGTGTTAAAGTTACAAATACAAGAGTGTAAATAGCCGTGCATTCAAGTGGCAGGATTATGGGTGATTTACTACTATTTTGTTCAGATATTAGCAACGTACAAAATATCTCAATACATAATTCATATTGCCCCTCTCCTTTGATGAAGAAAGCAAGCCCAGGAGTGAGAAATCTGTTTATGATGTACAAAACTGGTTTTTATTCAAGTGACTCTGGGGACCTGAGTCATAGCTATAAGGATTTTTTTTAAAACAACTTTATTTGGATATGATTTATATACCATACAGTTCCCCCATCTGAAGTGTGCAATTCAATGTTTTGAGTGTGTTCACAGTGGTGTGGAGTACAACCATCACCACAATCCATTTTACATTTTCATTACCCACAAAAGAACCCCCACACTCCTTAGCATCACTCCCTGATTCCTGCCCTATGTTCTATGAAACCACTAATCTGCTTTCTGTCTCTATGGATTTGCCTCTTCTGGACATTTCATATGAATGAATCACACAATATGTGACCTTTTGTGTCTGGCTTTTTTCACTGAGCATCATGTTTTCAAGGTTCATCCACATGGTAATACGTGTCAGGACTGTATTCCTTTATTGCTGAATAAATTCCATCATACAGATAGACCACATACAGGCATGAGCAAGTGTTTCAGAGAGAGAACATGGTTTATGGATGGAGCGAGCCAGTGCTGATCCTGCATGGTGACCAAAGGGGAGAATGGTGTCTGCAGAGTTAAGGGGCAGCTGCCGGATGACCAGGGTGAAAAGGAAGGGGTATGTGCTGTTCTTGCAAAATTAAATCATTAATTTTGATCAATGTTTTAAGGAGGGGGTTTTTGTTAGGTTTTGTTTTAGGACACAGGAGCCCTAAAAACCTTGATCATCCAAATGCAAAGAACCAGCAGAGACACAGATTTGTTGACCAGAGAGAGCAGGGCATGAATGGTGGAGAAAGGGCCTCCCTGGGGGAAGGGAGATGTGCCCAAGGAAATGGATGGAGACACTTCCTTTTCTAAATCAGGATAAAATATGTGTATCCTCTTTATCCAGAAAGTGAGGAGTGACAAGAGCTTGTGAAGATATCTATCCCAAATGGATAAATTGTGAAACAGATAAAGTTGTAAAATTCTGAATCATGGAGGGATTCCTTTATTTAATCAGATATTAGGTAAATGGGGCATCACTACATATAATTTGTTACAGATTTTTTTGGGGGGGCGTGTGTGGTAAAATATACACAAAAAATATTACAACTTAAATCATTTTAAAGTGTACAGTTCAGTGGCATTAAGTACTTTCACAATGTTGTGCAACCATAGCCACCATCTATCTTTTTATCATCCCAAACATCACCCGGTATCCATTACACAACACTCCCATCCCTACCCCCCAGCCCCTGTCAACACCATTTGAATTCTCTCTCTCTCTCTCTCTCTCTCTCTCTCTCTCTCTCTCTCTCTCTCTCTTTCTCTCTCTCTCTCTTTTAAGTTGATGTAGTTAATTTACCTAAATATAATTATTTGTCTTCTGGTTTGTTGAAGCAATAGGTCAGACAACATTTGCCACAATAATGTCTGTCAGAGTGGCTGGCCATAAAAATTCCTAGCAAAAGTGTCTGATTTTGCCATTCTTGTCCACTGTGTAGTATTTCAGGGCAGCCAGCTTAACCTTTTTCTTACACTTACTCTTCCTTTTCTAAGCAGCACCATAAAGTCTCAACACAAGGTGAAGAGTGGACTCTTTCTGAATGTTGTAGTCAAAGAACGTCCGTCTTCCAGTTGCTTGCCAGCAAAGATCAGTCTTTGCTGACCAGGAGGAATTCCTTCCTCATCCTAGTTCTTGGTCTTACATTTTCTGTTGTATCCAAGGGTTCAACCTCGAAAGTAATGGTCTTACCTGTTAGGATTTTCACAAAAATCTGCATATCGGCGAGGATTCCACCACAGATAACAGATCAGCATTTTACTTTCTGTCTCTATAAAATTTGATAACTCTAGCTTCATCATATACCAGTAAGTGGAATCATATAATACTTTTCTTTTTTGACTGGCTTATTTCATGTTAGATTTTTTCAATATGTAATTCTCATTTGCTATCCTTTATACTCAATATTTTTGTTCCTTTCACGGGATTACCAGCCCTTTAATGCAATCATCTGAGGGATTTAACATTTGTGTAGCATGGCACCTGGAGTTCAAAAGCACTTTGATGTTAGATATTTCAGAGCCATTAGTATTATTCCATTCATCAAAAAGCCAAAACCCACGCGGTTCAGTCATTGCCAAGAACTGCTGTGTAATGAATGATCTCTGATCTTACTAGCTTAAATAGCAGTTTATTGTTGATCAGGTAACAGATCAAACTGTAAAATTCTGAATCATGGGGTGGCTGGGCTGGGCCTCTACTGGTTTTCTCAGGCACCTTCATGTGACTGTACCCAGCTGGAGGGTGGGCTCGGCTGAACGGTGCCAGATGGTCTTCCTCCATTCCTGGCAGTGCCCCTGTCCCCTGCATGTGGCCTCTCCCACAGCTTCCTTCCCCACTGGCCTCAGGGCCATGTCCCCGGAGGGCAAGGCTTTCCACCCCGCACTGTGAGTTCCTGGCACACTCAGGTTACACAGAGGATCAATCTGGGCTGCAGGCCAGTCCAGATTCAAGACCACAGTGCAAAGGGCCTGCATAACTTTGCAGGAGAATTTGTGGTCATTAAAAGTCTACAACTTAAGGGCCTTTAATGGTTGAGAATGGGAACTGTCTATCAATCAAACCTAAATTCTAGTCCATTGAGGCCTTTCCACAGCCGATGGTCAGCCATAGTTCAAGGTCTTTTGTTTTCCATTTCCTTTGAGACACAAGGGTCCTGAATTTAAACGGCAATTTGAGTTGAGAGGATTGCAGTGTCTCCTGACTCGGGCTCCATGACAACGCGCACAGCTCCCCGGGAACGCGGGGCCTTTGCCAGCTGACCCCTGTTGGTCTTTGTTGGTCATGTCCACCCAGCTGACCTGGAGGAGGCGGGGCTCCGGCGCCTGATCCTCTGAGGCCAAGGCGGTTGGTGTGGGTGGGTCCCTGCAGCCTTCACTCCGGTCCAGCTGCGTGGCGGGACCGACTGTAGGAATGTGCATGCTGGCCGGGCAGTGGCCGCACCGATTTGGGTGGCCTGCGTGTCTGAAAGGCCTGTGAAAGGGAGGGCCAGCTGCTCTGCGCTGTTTCATCCTGTCGGTGGAGGCCATAGGGAAGGCGGGAGCGCGGGCAGCTCACGGGCACGGGGAGGACTTGGCGTTGGGGACCTGCCACTTGCGTTCAGAGACCCCGGAGCTTGCTGGCCATAGGGGCGGACTGCACTGCGGGTGGAGGGACTCCCGCCGGAGCCGGAGCCGATCATACGCGGGCGGCCTGTAGGCGGGGCCTCAACTGCTACCCTTTCCTGCCCAGAGCTGCCCTGCCCAGGGAGGCGCGGGTGCGGGTGCGTCTTGCTGCTGCCAGGCCGTGTCCCCGGTCCCCGTCCCCCCCACCCCTCCAGCGCTTTGTGGGGCAGGACGGACGGGGCGGGAAGGACCACACGGGAGAGCCAGAGATTGGCTTGTCTGGGAGGAGCTGGACCGGGGAGAGGGGAGGGGGAGGATGACGCAGGTTAGGCAGGGACGCCTACCATTTGTCCTGGTACCTGGAGGATTTATTTTCGCTTTGCTGCTGCCCACGGCTGGGCAAGCATGTAGCACAGGGACTTTGAGGGAAGCCGTGGGGAATCAGGGGCTCTGGGCCCCCGCACTTGGGTTGACCGGGGCTTGGGGAGCTAAATGTGGGCACCAGCCCAGGAACCTCCTAGTAGGAAAGGGGATCAGGAGGAATTGGAACCACAGAACTTGGGATGGGGTGACAGCTCACTGTGGGGAAACGGAAATGTGAGGGGAGGCAGCAGTCTTGTTTCTGGACTGAGAAACGGAAAGACCCACAATGTGCCCACCACCCCAGCCCCCCAAGAAGACAGAAAGACCACCCCACACTGGTGTCCCTACCCCGGTCTCCAGGACACCCAGGTCCCCATAGTCCATTCTTTCTGCTTCTCCAGGCCAGAAGCCAGGGAGCCCTCAGTGACCGCGGATCCTCTGGACAGCTTCACAGCCCTGTCCCCGCCCAGCTGAGGCAGCGCCAGCACCAGCTCAAGCACAAGGTCACTGCCTTCCTGGGGCCCTGGCACCTCCTGAGCTCTGGGTGGCCCCAGGCCTCCCGCCTGGGGTGGGCACAGGACCTAGTTGTGAGTCCAGAGAGTCACGCCTCTCAGGGCCAGGAACTCTGTGGTCTGCAGAGTGTCAGGGTGAGAGGGCGCTGGGGATTCTGGGAAGGTCAGTGAGCTGAGCTCATGTCCCCAGTGCTTGTCTCTGATGCTTGGTGCTCAGGAACGCCGGTGACTGTTATCCTGGACAAGGCACGCCAGGCGCCGTGTGGGGTGGGCTCCAGCTCGGCCTCAGCTGGCCTCCCAGCTCTGCCGCTTCATGGCTGTGCTGGTCGCCCTGGCAGGCTCAGTGTCCTCGTCTGTAACCTGGGTCAGTGAGAATGGCGGACTTTCATAACACGGGGCTGGAAGGTTAAATGGAAAAAACCACGAAACACGTCTCCCTGTGGGCCTCAATTCATAGTAACTCACAGTTACCAGTATCTTAGTGCCCTGACAGCACCCCCCTCCAACCAACCCTCCCCCACTCCCCTGCCAAGAGCCTTGTATTTGGCACATTCACACATGGAGAAAGTGAGGTTTGGATGAGGGAGGTGACATACTCACTGTCGCCAAGAGAGGAACTAGCCAAGCAGAAGCACCAGCCTGGGCTTCTGCAGCTCCATTCAGGTCCTTGCCTAGCCTAGTGCCTCGTCTCCCTACCTGCACCCCAGATCCATTCTCCTGAGCCCCAGGCTTCTCCACTGATGGGGCTTTGCCTCCTCCCTTAGGACAGACACCCTGGACTGCCAGGTTCCTTGTCTGGGAGGAGGAGGGGAAATCCAACAACTGGGGCCTGAGTGTGGTCTGGGGGACCGGCCGTTGGTCCCGGAATGCCCCTGCCTGAGCCCAGCGAGCAGGAGAGCGCGAGTATGAAGACTGGCCAGGAGCCGTCCGCTGAGACTGGCACAGATGTCGCCCCCGCAGCCCCCACGGACTCCACAGACCCCAACGAATACTTCAATCTGGTCCTGGTCCTGGTAACGGTCTGCACCGGGGACGGGGATGGCGTGGACTCCCTGCCCAAAGAAGTGCACTGTGCCATGTCCCTGGAGATGCCTGGCCCCGACACCCTGGGCAGAACCCTCCAGACCCTGCCAGCAGAGGAGCAGGGAGGGCCAGTCCAGCCAAGCCCCCAGGCCCTTGAGCAGAAATGCAGCCAGCCAGACACAGGTGAGCTCCCGGCCTGCTAACCCTGACCCTGCATGCTCACACTTGGGCCTCCGTGCACCCCCCTTTCCAGTGGGGTGACTGGCTGTCCCCTCCCTGCTCCAAGCCTCCTTATCTGTAATTACAAACCTGTCCCAGGCTGGTGTGTTCTTCATCCCTGTCCAACCTCGCTCCCCCCAACCCTCCCATCCAGTCCCTCATGTTTACTCCGTGTCAGCTAACCCAGCCCTCTCCTTGCCCTTAGCAGCCCCCAAGCCCCTGGAGTTCCTGAGGACCCCGTTCGGGGGCCGCCTCCTGGTGCTGGAGTCCTTCCTGTACAAGCAGGAGAAGGCAGTGGGGGACAAAGTGTACTGGAAGTGCCGAGAGCACACCGAGCTGGGCTGCCGTGGCCGGGCCATCACCCGAGGCCCGCGGGCCACCGTGATGCGGGGCCACTGTCACCCCCCTGACGAGGAGGGCCTGGAGGTCCGGCGCCGGAAACAGAAGCTGCTGCGCAGCCCAGCCCCGCCGGAGGGCTTGGGGAGTCCCCAGGTTCCCCGGAGGCCAGGTGGAGGAGCCACTCAAGGGGGTGAGCCCAAGCTGTGCCCTGAGGATCCGGACCCGCCCCCAAAAGCTGAACTTTCCGGAGAAGCCTGTCGATGCTGACCCTTTGCCTTCTAAGGAGCTTGCCTCCTCAAGAAAACGCCGATTGGCTGATGGTTTTGGGGAGGGGCCGCCCCCCCCCCAGTTTCCATTTCTGGGAAAAGGCCACAAACCCCGGGGCCCCTTTCTTTCTTCCCCAAAATGAAAAGTGGGGGGTTCACACACGTGTTAAAAAAATGTTGTTCAAAGGTAAAAACGACCTTTTAAAAAAAATAAACGGTGCCCCCTTGGCTCTTTAAAGCCCATAGATATGAAACCAAGAAATCTCCATAAAACCAAGCCCCAAGGTCCCGGTGGTGGGAATTTTTCTTGAA